GGGACCAATAAACATATTCATTTATCACTTGCATTCTTTCTTGTTGCTGCAGTCCTTTGCACAGGTAAAACAGAATTGGATACATATCAGGAATCTGACAGGCAACTGATTCTCCTTTGTCTGAACTTTTTTTGTTGTCAGACACAGTGCTATTGTTTTGGTATCTCTTTTTTGCAGCTACCATTACAATATGTCTCTTTGTCATCTCAGAAAACCATTTGTGGGCCTGTTAAAGAAGTAAATTCAATATCACCACTTGCTTTCCGCAGTCTAGAAAAGGAAAAGACCCTCTACAGGTTAACCTATAGCATTTTAAATGCCTTTTGATTTATCTGTCACCTGATACACCAGTAATGAATATTTTCATGGAAGGTGCCCTTTAATTACTTTCCCATTTGACTTGCATTATAAGACCCTATCTAGGTAATTAATCTTAGCCAGTATCCAATTTCGGCCTTTATTGCAAGCAAGCCTTCTGAATTTTGTGTGCTTGAGTGGCTCTGTTTTACCACACAGGCCAGGGAACCAATGTTGGCTACTCAAATTGCTATTTAAAAGGAAGCCAAAGAATAGCAGGAACGTGTATGAAAGGCCCTGTGTTGTATAAAGTCCTTCAAAACTCTAACTGCTTGCTAATTTCATCATTTAAGATAAACAGATTAGCTCATAGAAGGGAATGGCGGTAGTCGGAGGTTCTAATGAGTAAATAAATGTGTAGCTTTTGCAGTAGCACCAAATGAAAATGGGAGTTCAGGTCAGGTTAAAGCATTGGGCATGCCACTGGGGTTTTTACTGAAAGATATTGCCTTGACATTTCTAAAAGGTACACCAAGAGGCACACAGCCATAAATAGATCATCATTAAATGCTTCTGATCTGTGAACTTCAGCAACAAGGTGCTTTGGGGAGGAGAAACATAACTTACATAGTAATGCCTGACAGGGAGACTAGCAATAAATAGAACCATATGTTGTTCTTTTGTGGAAGGTTTGTTTGGAAACATGTTCTCCATTCTTTTTAAAACTTTGTTTTATTTCCAGGAAGACTTTTTTTTTTTTGGTCTGCGTTTAAAAAAAGTTGAACAATTTTTTTCATAAGGCGTAAGCACACAGATTATATTTATGGGAACATGAGAAGTAGAAATAAGTTCCCTCTTACAAATTGAGCGGAACATAGCTTTCACTTGTCAAATGATGCGCACTACACTTAACCCAAGACTGAAGCTAGACAAACTAACAAAGCTGAACTCCTTCAGCCTCCCTAATCACAGGGATATGACATGACGACCTGATAATGCATAGTCTAGTCATACGGAAGGAATGTCTGATATAGAGGTGGGTGAAGAGAAAAAAACACTAAATTGGTGATTGTCTTGCAATCAAATGTGTGCGTCTGTTAAGCCTAAAGTTGCAGAAAAACTTTTTTTTTTTGGCGTTTCATGATAAAGATGTCAGAAATGTTTATGCATGGTCTTACAGAAATTGTACTAGTATACAAAGGAAGAAAACTGATAGGCCAATGTTTTCCCATCTCTTTTGTTGCTTTAGGTCTACTAAAAACATTTACATTCCTCTTACATAGAAACCAGGCTCTACATTTCATCCTCACTAGACCACATTGGCAACTTTTCTTATGCACTTATACAAATATAGGCTTACGAACTCCTCGGTTAATGTCATTTTCGGTTTACGAATGAAAATGCATTGAAAATAGTGCCTTGGTTTACAAATTTTTTTCACAATAAGAAGTGTATGTCAGTGCCAATTTTTAAATGCAATTGCCTGCTTTTTTTTTTCTTCACTATAGCTCACAGAAATAGCGGTCACTTTCTCTGGAGATAAAGGATACTTTGTTTCTTTTATCTCAGGAAACAAACTAAAAGGAAACATTGTTTCTTTTAACTCAGGGGAAAGTGACAGCTGAATCTGTGAGCTATAGTGAAGAAAAAAAAGTCGGTAATTACATTTAAAAACCGGCACTAACCTATAGTGACAGCGACTTTTTTAAAAACTTTTTTCTGATCTCCAGAACAATTGGTTTACAGTGCATTTCTATGGCGTTTCGGTTTACAAATTTTTTGCAATATGCAATGTCCCGGAGAACGCATTAAATTCGTAAACCGAGGTACACCTGTATTTCTGTGTGTTGATTTCTAGCTTTTGATGACCTCAGAATTTGTATATTGTATATATACGAGGTGGTATCAAAAAGTTTCAAGACTAGTTTGCTGTTTGTTCTAACTGGCTGTCCATGATGAAATAGCAGACGTGGAAATGCACATGGCCGGAATAGCACCAGTTGCACAGCTCCTGATGTACACAGGATGATGTCTTTTGGCTTATAAAGGTCGGTGTTCCCTATGACTGTGCATGTAGCCTTGTGCTGCCATCTGTTGGTGTGTTACAAAACCAGTCTCAGACCTTTGAGTTAGTTTATGCTGGTGATGTCTGTTTTGGCAGTTTTTCTACCACACTTATTCACTTGACTCTATCTATGATTATAAAGGTAATAAGTGATTACAACCTTTTGCCCACATCAGAACCAGGCCTTGTTGCCACTCTCTCAGTAATAGATTATTATTAACCAATAACCACTGTGCTGAATAAAAAGAATAAAAAGAAAATGGAAATCTAACTTATTTATACAGAAGAAAAGTAGTTACTAATCAAATCAATCAATTGATATTACAAGAAAAAAATATTAAATGTTACAATATGCTATCAGTATAGAGAGATGACTATAAGAAAGGAAGTTAATGAGCAGTGCTGATACATTACAGACACCCTGATGTTCTGAGGTCTGGCTCCGGAAGGCACAAAGGAAAAAAAGAGAAAGTGTCTCTTTTGTTTTTCATGTTTTATACACTTTCCAAAAGATGGTCCCTAGACCCACCACCCACCCAAGTAAATTCACACCTTTATCTTAACCTCTAATGGGTGGGCTTTAGAGCAATGATCAGTTTAGTTAAAAGAAAAACAGGAAATTCCAGTTGCCTTCTATCCCCCTCAGCTCCATTGAGTCTTATGAAGTGTTATCCCCCCACATTCACAATAACCTTCATGAAGGTGAAAATTACTATAGGCCCAAAATTGCCATTACATGTCTCATCACAGTACTTGCAGGCATTTTGTCTGTTAGACATGTTACTCTATTGCAATGCAGTGGCTTTCTGATGACAAAGCTTCCCCAGTGTGGGGCTGGATGCGTTGAGCCTGTTGAAGCACTTCTAGTGATGCTGGCTAAATCTTCAGCATCATGTTTACCATCCCACTTCGCTTCCTAAGCCATATGGCTATCCCCTGTGGCATCCACTGGAGTGTCCTTTATATTAAACATATACTTAATGTACTGGGAGGCCACAGTAACTGACATGCCATTCTGTTCTCAGATATTCAGTTGTTTTCCTCCACTTTTATGCTGTCCCAATGAATTTGTCTTCCTACAAGCAGTTATCACAGGTATATGGTTGTGTTGCTGATCCATGTCCAATAGAACATTATAGAAAATTGACATAGGCGATTATAATCGTTTATGAAAATAGTTGTTGGCTTTTTTCACAATCAGTTAGTTGGTCAGCAGATTAGTTAGCCTGCATACAGAATATTATTTGTTTACATATCGCAAATACAGTGCAGGACACATGCAGCTCAGTACACAGTCCATACATGTCAGTATACACAGTGCAGCACACAGCTCAGTACACCATCCATACATACCACTGAATGCCTGGGAACTTGTGAATGTGTGAGGAGCAATGCCTCATGGGACATGTAGTCCTTGTAGGGAGAAGTAAGGGATCTAAAGGTAGATGTTGTTTTACCGTGCTGTGGGACACTCTATACTACACTTTGCAGATTGCTATAGGGGCACTCTGAAGGCAGGAGGAGTCAGAATCGCTGGTAGGGAACCCAGAAGAGGAGAATCAGGGCTGCTCTGTGTAAAATCATTACACAGAGCAGGTAGGTATGACAATTTTGTTTAAAAAAAAACAAAAAAAAAAAAAAATTTAGAATCACTTTAGGGTCTCTGTGCAGGGAAGATCAGGATTTAAACCCAGAGAAACTGGAGGCTGATAGGCTGGAGGCAATATAAGGTATTACAATTGCATTTAAAGTAAAAGTTTACCAGTATTGTGCATTATATTTTACAATAATTCTATCCATGCAAAAACGTCTCAGCTCTTAGTACTACTTTAATATAAAAAATTTACCGTATATCCCCCTTCCACCCTTCATATAGCTTCATGTCTGACTCCTGGTTAAAATACCCTGTATATTATACTTCTGGGTATATTTATTATATCCAAAACTGGTTTAGAGGCACTCATGGGTCTTGCAAAGGAGGTAGATCAAAAACAGCGGTCTTTTTATTGTCAAAGTTCCATGAAGCTCAGTCCATCTTTCTCAAGACACTACAATGTGGAAGTGAACAGATTAATAAACCTAAAGTCCCACCTACAAACAGTACCCCCTAGTGATGACTTCACACAGCGCAAGGGTTAAAAGACACATACAGGGAAGAGGTCAATGAAAGATCACAGAAGGAGTATATCACAATAGTTCATCAGAAAATCTAAATATTCAAAATCCTAGCTGAGATCAAAAATAGCTTCTACATAAAAATGACAAATTGCAGAAAAGGTAGAACAAATAAAGCATGTAGTGCTCACAATACGGCTGCCCTTGCACATGGCAAACACGAGACAGGCATGGACCATGCTTAATAAGTACCATGAAAAAATAAAACAATAGGTGATGGCTAGGACAACAAAGCAACAAATGAAAAATGACCAATATGCCACAAAAAAGTGCCTCTAAATCAGTTTTGGATTTATGTGGATTTCTCTGTGGGCGAGCACCTGAGCATTTGCTTCAAACCTAGAGTACCATAGCTACTCTTGGAACTACACTATATTGCCAAAAGTATTGGGACACTCCTTCAAATCATTGGACTTAGGTGTTCCAATCACCTCCATAGACAGAGGTGTATAAAATCAAGCACCTAGGCATGCAGACTGCTTCTACAAACATTTGTGAAAGAATGGATTGCTCTCAGGAGTTCAGTGAATTCACGCATGGTACTGTGATAGGTTGCCACCAGAGCAATAAGTCCCTCTGTGAAATTTCCTTGCTACTAAATATTCCACAGTCGACTCATGGCGTGGCAACTCGGCCACGATATGGTAGGCCACATAAAATGACAGAGCCGGGTTAGCACATGCTGAAGCGCACAGTGTGCAAACATCGCCAACTGTTTACAGAATCAATAACTAAAGACCTTCATACTTCATGTGGCCTTCAGATTAGCTCAACAGTGTGTAGAGATCTTCATGGAATGGGTCTCCATGGCTGGGCAGCTGCATCCAAGCCTTACATCACCAAGTGAAATGCAAAGCAAGTGCAATGCAAAGGGTGCAGTGTTGTAAGGCATGCTGCCACTGGACTGTAGAGCAGTGAAGACGTGTTCTCTTGAGTGACAAATTACGTTTCTCTGTCTGGCAATCCGATGGACATGTCTTGGTTTGGCGTTTGCCAGGAGACCGTTACTTGCCTGACTGCATTGTGCCAAATGTAAAGTTTGGTGGAGGCGGGATTATGGTGTGGGGTTGTTTTACAGGGGTTGGGTTTGGCCCCTTAGTTCCAGTGAAGGGAACCCTTAAGATGTCAGCATACCATGACAGTTTGAACAATTTCATGCTCCCAACTTTGTGGAAACAGTTTGGGGAAGGCCCCTTCCTTTTCCAACATGACTGCGCACGAGTGCACAAAAAAAGGTCCATAAAGACATGGATGAGTGTGTTTGGGGCAACGCAACTTGACTGGCCTGCACAACACCTTTGGGATGAATTAGTGGACACTGTGATCCAGGCCTTCTCGTCCGACATCAGTGCCTGACCTCACAAATGCTCAAATTCTGGAAGTATGGTCACACATTCCCATAGGCACACTCCTAAACCTTGTGGATAACCTTCCCAGAAGAGTTGAAGCTGTTATAGCTGCAAAGGGTTGGCCAACTCAATATTGAACCCTACGGACTAAGACTGGGTTTCCATTAAAGTTCATGTGTGTGTAAAGGCAGGCGTCCCAATTATTTTGGCAATATAGTGTGTATATGTATACGTGTGTATGTGTATATATATATATATATATATATATATATATATATATATTACTTTCACTGTTTCATGGTATAAATTAACCCCATATAGTAGTGATTATATGTTGTTTTTGTACTATAAAGGGCTCATTTTTGTTTTTTTAACCCCATCATAACAGGTGATAAGAAAACATGTTGCTGCTACTAATGTCTTATGCTGGCCATAAACATATCGATTTTTGAATGAGAATATTTGTATGAAAATTCTGTGTACATTTGATGAATGATCAAATGTCGTTAGAAAATTTTATTTTAAAATTATTGTAAATTCTGAATGAAAACCACCGTTAACTTTAATTTGACCCCACTAAAGATTAGAAAATTTATTTTAAAATGAAAATTTTCAAAGGAAAAATTTGTTCGTGCATGACCAGCATCAAGCTGGGTACACACGGTCCAAATATTGTCTGGTTCAGCAGGAACCTCCCACCATTCGGACCGTGTATACAGCTGTCCTAATAAAATGAAATTCCTACATAGAAGTTATATTACCCTGTACCCTGTTTACATGTGTAAATGTGTACATGAATTATTGGGATATGGGACAGCTTTATTAATTTTGGTCTCTGTGGGATCCTATCTATTCCATTATCATTGTTTGGTTTTTGAATGTGGAGAGATGAGTGCCACCATCACTAAGCATAGTTAGATATTCGCACTCTGCAAAGTTATGTGCGTTTCAAGCTTTTGCCAGCAGTTTAGACATTAATGGCAGTGTGTTGAGTTATTTTGATGGGACAGCAAATTTACACTGTTATACAAGCTGTACACTCACTACTTTACATTGTAGCAAAGTGTCATTTCTGCAGTGTTGTCACATGAAAATATATAATAAAATATTTAAAAAAATGTGAAGAGTGTACTCACTTCTGTGAGATACTGTATGTCATGTTAACATGCTTTGTTTGAAGGCATCCCATTCATTTGGGATGGGCTGACAATGCATGGCAAAGGAAGATAAAATGGACCTGCAGTGGGATGAGACAATTAGCAAAGCACAAACACTGTGTAACTGGTAACCAGAAAGGTTCCCTAGATATGCATACAGTATATAAAATGCAAACTATAAGTAGAAACAATGTTTTGAATACCTTGACCACTTCAGATCTTGCACCTAGGCAAAAGCAGAAGCAAAAATAGAAACAAGTATTTGTTTCTTGTTTGACCAACTATGGTATTAAACTAGAGTATACACTATAACTGTATATAAAGTATATATTTTATTCTGTATTCTGTATTTTTTATAATTCATAAGAAGGCTAAAAAATTTTAAAAAGCTTGTTAAACGTATTTACAAAGAAATTTAAATAGTTCTCTTTGTATGTTTTTTAAGCTTACAGTTTGTTGTTTTTGATTTATTTTTTTTGTTTTTTTTTTTGTACTGTATGTATACATCCTTTGTTATACAAATACAAATTTGATAAATAAAAAAGAATTCCAAAAGCACTATGGGTCAGCCAAGTAAACCACACCGCACTAGCAGTCTGCCTTGTGGCTGTCCAGAGTTAACTATGAGTCTTTCAATGTTGTATTGTTTCAGTATTTTATTTCAACTTGAGTTCGGGAAAAAAAAAAAAAATTTCACTGCTGACTATAAAGGGCACAATATTAATACACCATATAAAATAATTAACATTTAAAGTGGTTGTAAACCCTTCTATATACCCACTGACGTGGTTGGCGTCCGGTGATACAGAGGTGAAACAAATGCTCCTGTACCTGTTCATCTACAGCAATTTGTTTTTGTACATCCTTGTAAAACGAATGAATAGGATTTTTCACAGACTTGCAAAGCGGGGGCGGGGAGCTGCAGTTACATACTGTACAAGAGCTCTGAAAGCTAATTGGAGGGAAGGGGACATGCATCCCCTGCACACAGCACACAGGAACAGAGCTGAGGTTGTCAATCAGCTGGAGTTTCCTCCTCTGCCACCTTTTTAGCTCCTAATGTCTGGAAGTGACTCGTGCTTTAATTTTCTTTAATTTTTTTGTCGCTTTTAAGTGTGTGTGTGTGTATGTGTGTATATATGTACGTATGTGTGTGTGTATATATATATATATATATATATATATATATATATATATATACTCCCTTTTGTGAAATACTGTGGGTTCCGCTTACGCCCAATTAAAAGAGGGGGTTGTAAAAGATCCCCAAGTGATGTGAATTACAACATTAATTAGTGAATGCTACTGTAGTTTCCAGTGATCAGATCTATTTTAGACCTGTGTGTGAAATGAGTTAAGTTAAAGGTTATTGCTATTCTTATTTGAGCCCATATTTACCTGGGGCTCTATTCATCTGAGCATTTAAAATTTATGATACATCTGTGATCAATGATTACTATGATCTGTGTTTACCAATTAATTTCACCTCAGGCAAGTAAGCAATGTATTATCTGCAGATCATGTTAATAAAAGCTAACTTGTACAGGAGCAAGGTTTGCATTTTCTGACAGATATATGCACACTTTTCACTAGCTGTATATAAAGAAGGAAACCAAACCTGATTTATAAATTATTATTATTATACAGGATTTATATAGCACCAACAGTTTGCTCAGCGCTTTACAATACAACGGGAGACAATACAGTTCAATACAAGAGGGATAGGAGGGCCCTGCTCCTTGGCGCTTACAATCTAGGAGGGAGGGGCTAGTGGTACAAAAGGTAGTAACTGTGGAGGATGGACTGGTTGGAAGAGTAGAAGATTCCATTATTAGCTGAGGGCAGGATAGGCTTCCCTGAAGAGGTAGGTTTTTCAGAGATCGCCTAAAAGTGAGCAGAGTAGGCGATAGTTTGATAAAATGGGGTAGAGAGTTCCAGAGGATGGGGGAAGCTCTGAAGACGAGCATGGGAGGAGGAGACAAGGGAGCTAGAGAGCAGGAGGTCTTGCGAAGAGTATGGTTTTGGGTGATATTTAGAGACAAGATCGGTGGTGTAATTTGGGGCAGAGTTATAAATGGCTTTATACGTTATTGTTAATGTTTTGAATTTTATCCGTTGGGCAATGGGAAGCCAGTGGAGGGATTGGCAGAGAGGGGTGTGTCAGATACAGAAAAGGGTAAGGTGGATGAGTCTGGCAGCAGTGTTCATGATAGACTGAAGAGGGGCTAGCCTGCGATTAGGTAGGTAGGCCAATGAAGAGGGAGTTACAATAGTTAAGGCGAGATATAACAAGGAAGTGAAAAATTTGCTTAGTGGTTTCTGAGGTTAGGAACAGGCGTATCTTGGAGATGTTGCTGAAGGGGAAGTCTAAAAGATTTGGACAGTGAATGGATTTGGGGACTGAAAGGACAGATGGGAGTCTAGGATTAACACCTAGTACCCTGGCAGAGGGGAGGGACTGATGATTGTGTTATTATTGATCTTTGATGGAGAAGTCAGGGGAGGGGGCACGGGCTGGGGGGAATACTAAGAGCTCAGTTTTGGAAAGATTGAGTTTGAGGAAGTGGAGTGACATCCATGCCGATATGTCACTTAGTAGGTTAGTAATGCGAGAGGAGACTGAAGAGGTGAGGTGAGGAGTAGGAAGATAGATTTGTTTGTCATCAGCATAGAGATATGGTACTTAAAGCCATGGGAGTTTATCAAGTGACCAAGGGAGGAGGTGTAGATGGAGAAGAGAAGGGGTCCAAGGACAGAACCTTGAGGGACCCCTGCAGAAAGAGGGAGTGAAGAGGCGGAGGCAGCATTATAGGTAACGCTGAAGGAGCGTTGCAATAGGTAGGAGGAGAACCAGGAGAGAAGAACAGAGTCTTTGAGACCAAGAGAGTGGAGTTTTTTGAGGAGGAGGTCAACTGTATCAAAAGCCGCAGAGAGGTCAAGTAGTAAGAGTATGGAGTAGTGGCCATTAGTTTTAGCTGTTAGTAGATCATTAGGAGTTAAAATCTCCGAGAATGATAGTGGGTAGTTCAGAGGAGAGAAAGTAGGGTAGCCAGGCGGAGAGAAATCAAGAAAGCGGGACACCGGTCTAGGAGGCCGATAGATCACTGCAATCCTCAGAAAAAAATGGGGGAAAAAAATGGGAGTCTCGAAAGAAGAGAAGGATAGAGAGGGAGGACTTGAAAGGTGCTCAGTGGGGATAGAAGCAAACCAACTCCACCACCTTTCCGACCACTGGGTCTGGGCGAGTGGGTCCAGAGAAGGCCTCCATAGGAAAGTGCTGTGGGAGAAGTAGAATCTGCTGCTTGAAGCCAGGTTTCTGTAACTGCTAGTGGGTTAAGGGAGCGGGAGACAAAAAGGTTATGGACAGAGGTGAGCTTATTAGACAGAGCGGGCATTCCAGAGTGCATATGAAAAAGGGAGGGTGGTTTTTGGGAGCACAGGGACTGATATTAAATTTAGGGGATTGCGGCTATTCCTGGAAGAAAGAGGATGCCTGGTGTGGGGGTGAGATACTGGAGGCCCAGGGTTTG